GCCTCTGCCGGGCTGGGCTCCGGGGCACTGGGGATGCCCAGGCCTCCGTCAGGAGGAGAGGCGGCTCCGAGAAGCCTGGGACTGTGTCCAGCAGAAGCCGGGACCCCGGGGAGGGATGAGGCGGCTGAGGGGCTGGAGGGCGGGCAAGGGCCAGGCTGGGCCTCAGAGGGGCAGAGACCCTGGGGCTGGGGTGGTACCTCAGGCTGTGAGGAAACAGGCAGGTTCAGGTGGGGAGAAGATGCAGAACAGGAGGGTGCTGTGTGCCCCGTGCATGAATGAGTGCTCCCCTGGAGCCCCAGCTACAGGCTCGCTCTGCTGGCCCAGGCTCTGCTCCGCGCTCCCACCCCTGGCGCTGAGCGAGGCCACCCCTCACCTGCCCCTGCAGCTGGCCTTCTGGGCCCTCTGCTGTCAGGGGCTGAGGCCAGGTGACCAGGGGTGGGGGCCCTGGGACTCTCTCGCTCAGGCTGGGGTGCTCCAGCCCCCGCAGCCCACACAGGATGAGGGGCTGGAGGAGGGGTCAGGGACAGGCCTTCGCGGACACTGGGGAGGTCTGGAGCCTGGAGCCTCCAGCCTCAGAGTGATCCTGAGCCAGGCCCCGGCGTTCCGGGGAGAGCACCCAGAGAGCTCAGCAAAGGGGCGCAGCCTTTCCAACCCAGAGGGGCGGTGGGCTCCCAGGACTGGGAGCGGAGCCCAGGTCCCGCTCCAGGGAGAGCTGACCCACAGAGGGGGGAATGGGGGCTGGCGAGGCACCCCGATCGCTCCCACAGCCAACACAGCAGAGCCCCTCCTTGGCCACCATCCACCCCCTGCCCTCAGGGGTGCCTGGGAGACCGGGGTACCCAGGAGCCATCGGGTGGGGGCTGTCCCCGATCCCACAGCCCGCGGTTCACTCCTGGAGAACCCGGTTACCTGGGAGCCCGGTGACTCAAGCTTCAGGCGTCTGGCAGCCTTGAAACCCCAGGGCATCTGGCCGCAGGCTGCAGGGCGAGCCCGGACAGGCTGGGCTGGGGCTGGGG